ATGGCAGGCTGGGGCCTGGAGGGCTGGGAGACACTGGAGGTCTAACGCCTCCACTGAGTTGTTTTTTTATAAAAAGAAGGAAGAAAAAAAAAAAAAAAAAGAATTTCAGAAAGATAATAGAGAAACAATAATTAACTTGAGTTTTAACACAAGTTTCTTAGGTATCTAGGGAAAGCAGCAGTGATAGGACTATAATTTGTAGTCAGCAGAATTTCAAGGCCCTACAGTTCAAAGATGTAATGTAGGGCACAGCAAAAGCCAGTGAGGCCACCTCAAAAGCTAGTTCTTACTCTAGTTAAAACGAGTTACTAGTGATCAATGCTAGGTGTTGTGCAATACGGAAATCATGAAAAGTTAGAAGAAAGCATCAGCAGAGGATGGGAAGACCGGAACACTCTTCTGGGTTCTGATGATTGCAAGCCGGCGGGAATTACTACGTGCACACAGGTCCTAATTGAAAATAAACAAAACTGGCTTAAGCAATAGGGGCATTTATTAGCTCAACAGAAAAGCACAGTGGTAGTTTTGGCTTCGGTTTGATTCAAGGGCTCAATGTGGCTGTCAGGGACACGTCTTTTCCCAACACTTCTCTGTCTTCCATGGTTCTGGTTCCACATGAGGCTAGCTTTTTATACATACTGTGTGTTATATCGCACACCACACCATTCAAAAAGAAAGAAATAACATTTTTCTTGGATCAAGGGAAAAAAATCTTCTCTAATATCCTAAAATGGATCACACACCAGGCAATGAACCAGGATCAGAGGATTCAATTATCTTGATTAGTTACAACAAGAAATAGCCTGGCATGGTGGCACTTACCTATAACCCCAGCATTCTGGTAGGCTGAGGCAGAAGAATCACAAATTCAAATCCAGTCTGGGCAATTTATCAACTTAATGAGACTCTGTCTCAAAATTTTAAAATAAAATGGCTAGGGATGTAGCTCAGTGCAAAGGATTCAAACTAAGTACAAAAACAAAAGAAGAGTAAGAATCCCCACAAAATCCATGCCCTGCAAGAGGAGGGTATAACTAAGCAAAAATCAGAGTAGTTAAGAGAAAGGGAAGTGTCTACAAATGCACATGAATTCTTTTGTGGTTTATAGGTAGGCAATGGTCCTCCCTGAGTTAGGATTCAGTACAGTACAGCGAAGGCACAGCTAAAGGAGAAAACAAACTTGGACCAAATGATACCACATATTGTAGTTCTAGCTTTTTTTCAAAAGTATTGCTCCATTATGCCCTTTTTCTTCCTACGAATCAATGTTTCAAATTACATTTCAGTTGATGGGAGAAGTTTCCTCAGCAGCTGTAGCTAACCGCTCTGTTAATTATCACTTTGAGGTCAGCCCAGTCCCAGGCTGTGTCTCGCCATATCCCTTTTCCTTTATTCTTGGAAAATGTATTGCTGTCTTGAGGCACACAGTGAATTCTGTTTAGTTAGAAAATACAATCCTTCTTCTCTTTATCAGAATGAAAAAATACAGGTCTGTGTGGCCTGAGCCTATTGCAGCCTTTGCTTACATGTGCATTTAAAGTTCATTGTATCCTACGGCAGAAACATACCTAATTAATTTGCCTTTCTTTTCTACATAGCAGCTTTTCCTAAAGGGAGATGGAGTTGCATTCATGATGAACATCTAATTAACAAGTCAATTTCGCTTCCTATATGTGTTTTGCAGTTATCCTATTAGAATATGAAGGAAACGTTGCGGTGAATTCTGCAAGTCTTCCTGTTAATTTATTTATTCAAGAAAGGTCTATCTGCCAGGTGAGGTGGAGTAACTGTGAACCCAGCACTCTGGGGAGGCTGAGGCAGAAGCACTGCAAATTCAAGCACAGCCTAGGCAGCTTAGTGACTTAGGAAGACCCTGTCTCAAAATAAAAAACACAATAAAAATAAAAGGGACTGGGGCTGGGGTTCAGTGCAAAGGTCCTGAGTTCCTACTCTAATACCACACACACACACACACACACACACACACACACACACACGGCAGACAAATACCTCTTATGTTTCCAGAAGGGAGATGGGCATCAAAGTGCAATACATCGTCCATGCCCTCCAAGAGGTCACCTAGCTAGGGACAGGCCAGGCACTTATAAAACTACTAAGGCACCAGGCAGAATAGTGTGGGATTAAAGATCAGAAGTGGCAATGCAAACAGTAAGGGTCACAGGGAAACAGTGTAGGGGTAGATGGGATGGAAGTGAAGACAGCAGTGACTCTGAGAGGTTGAGGGAGATTCCATGAAAAGGGCTTCAGTTGTTGGACCTGCCAGGATATTGATACTAACAGGCACAGAAGACATTCCAGGCCTGAGGACAGTGGGCTTTTCATAGGAAGACTTCATATAGCTGGGAAGCAAAGAAGCCATAATATGTGTCTTACTGGCAAATTAATATGTGTCTTACTGGGCATAATATGTGTCTTACTTGGACACCAAAGCCTGATAAGAACCTGCGATTCTACAGAGCAAGGATCTGACAGGAGAACAGAGAAGACTGACAACCAAAGAATGCTGAGTCCTGTGACAATGGGGCTATTCTGGAACATCTCATCAGAAGGACAGGATACTAAGAAGGAGATAAAACCACCTGCTTGAAGACAGAATGACCAAACCCAGGATGACCAGCTCCAAACCAATGGAAGCACCCAACAGTGAGGCCAGGGGCAGCAGCAAGGGGAGCAAGCATCTCCTTTCTTCAAAAAGGACAAGGAAAGAGAAGAGGCCAGCTTGGCTTTGGTTTCTAATCTTCTCATAATGTGGACAGCAAGACTGAGTTTGAGCCATCGGAGTATTCAAGTGAAATCACCTGGTAAACACTTTAAGGTTGGGGAGAGTCCATTAAAACCAAATTGGGATATGATGCAATCAGAAGCTGATTTTTTGATCCCCCGAATTAAGGCTAGCTAGCTGCGCTGGTTCTGTCTACGAGAGAATCGATTTCTTGGTCATGTGATTAAATTTTCTATACTCAGAGGATCACTCTCCTCCCAGAAGTGTCTTTAAAAGATAGGGCTAAGCAGAATGTATAAGCAAAATAATACTAACTAATAGTGGCCTTAGTGACTTTTTAAAAATACCACAATTTTCCAAGAGCCTAAATGTCCATTTTGGGAGACTATGGCTTATTGGTGTATTTATTACTGTGTGCAGGGAGCACAACCACTTCTTGTTTAATATGAAAAAATATCCCACCCAGTATACATATGTACTACCAAGTTCTAAGTCTAAGTGGTCTCAATCTTTAGTGCACATTGATGTAGGGTTTTTACTGAAAATGCAGATTCATTGGTTCTGATAGAGCCTACCATCTACATCGCTACCAAGTTCCCCCAGAAATGCACTCTCTGGAATACTACCTTCATTCCAGGTGTGTGTGTGCAGCTCTTCCAACCAGCATGCCTGTCTCATTTCACAGGTTTGATAAATGTATGTATATATTGGATCAGTGTCTTCCCAGCCCTGATATCAGTAAGACGCATATTATGGCTTCTTTGCTTCCCAGCTATATGAAGTCTTCCTATGAAAAGCCATAATTTATGGTATCCCACATAAGGAAATATAGCAAGTTGCTGCATATATGAACTTCACCTGATATCAGCCACTCTAGGGCTTATCTTTATTTTCTTTTTTTTTTTTTTTTTTTTTTTTTTTTTTTTTTTTTTTC